GAACGGAGCAGTGTCGGGGTGGGCAAAATGAAAAACCTCATAACATAGACTAGGAAACAGCAGTCAGTAGGGAGACTAAACAACGACTGAGTAACATGATAACCAGGAATCCAAAGGAAAGGGGCCTCAGTGGAAGGACTGCTGAACGACAAAAGAGTGGTGTCTCAGGTGATTGGTGGCTATGGTCATATACTGCAAGAAGGAATCCCCCCACAGTTAGTACCCCACAGCCCCTGTGGGTCAGGAATCTGGGCGTGATGAGCTCAGTGTCGCCTCACGTGACCGTTGGCTGTAGACTTGAAGTGGGCCTCCCTCAAGGCTGCTCACATCAGCAGAAGCTGCTGGCTTCTCCTGGACAAGAGGGTAAGAGACAGTGAGACGGGGCACACTCGTGAGCAGGCAGCCTGTGATGGAAGCTTCAGTCTTTCATAACCTACTCAGTGATAGCACATCACTTAACGACTTCATTTTATTGTATCTGCATTTTCTATTTGTTTATCTATTTTTGAAACAGGGTTTCCTGGCTGTCCTGGAACTCTCTTTATAGAACAGGTTGGCCTCAAACTCAGAGATCTGCCTGCCTCTACCTCCCAGTGCTGAAATCAAAGGCATGCACCAACATCATCTGGCCCGAACTTTTTTTTTTAAAGATAGGATCTTACTATGTAGACCAGGCTGGTCTTGAATCCACAGAGATCCAGCTGCCTCTGCCTTCTAAATTCTGGGACTGAAGGTGTGCCCACCACACCTGGCTGCCTTGAACTCTTGATTTTCCTCCCTCTACCTCAAAAGTACTAGGATTACAGACAGGAGATACCATACCCAGAAAAACGTTACTTTTCAGAGTAATTTTATTTTTATTTATTATTATTATTATTATTTTTTTATCTGTGTGCATGGGTGCAGGGGTCTGCTAAGGCCAGAAATGGGCATCAAATCCCCTGGAGCTGGAGTTACAAGTGTCTGTGAGCCACTGAAGGAGGGTGCTGGGAACTGAGCACTAGTCCTCTGGAAGAGCTCTTAATCACGGAGCCATGTCCCTATCCCCTTAGAGCAATTTTAAATTCAGAGCGTAACTCAGCAGAGAATAGGGAGTTCTCACACCAGTCCTTCCCTGTACACACAGCCTCCCATGCTATTAATAGCCCATAGGAGAGGAGTGCATTTGTACAGTGAGTGACCAACACTCAGAGTTCACTGTGTCGTGTGCTGTATGGATTTTGACAAGGATATAATGGCATGTGGCCACCCTTATATTCAGGATAGTTATTGTGTGCCAAAATACTCTTTTATTCACTCATCCCTCACTCTGCCATGAAGTTTTCCCCTTTTCTAAATGTTCTGTTGTTTGATCACATAAAATACAATCTTTTTTAGATTGACTTCCTTCACTTAGTAATGTAAAGAGCTTCAGTGACTTGATAGCTCGTTTCTCTAATAATATTCTATTGTCTGGACAGTTTATTCACTACTGAAGGACAGCTTGGTTGCGCTCAGATTTTACACCGATGAATGAAGCTGATATAAACATTTCTGCGTTTTCACATACGTTTTCATTCCTTGGGTAAATACCAAGGAGCAGAAATGCTGGATCTCACTATGAAAGCAAAGTTAGTGTTGTAATAAACTACCCACTGTCGTCTGAATGCTTCCACGTTGCTTTCCCACAATCAATGAACGGGTCTCCTCATCCTCACACACATTTGAATTGTCAGTTCTAGGTTCTAGCCATTTTGGTAAGTGTGCAAATGGTATCAGTGTTGTTCCAATTTTCAGTTCCTTGATGGCTTATGATGCTTAACATACCAAGAGCATGAACAGTAGACAACTCTTTTGAGGGGTATTGCTATAAAAAGAAATAAAAGGTGGATTCATTGAGGCAGGATGTGGAGTTAAAATGGTGGTGGGGGGGTTGGTTGGTTTGTTTGGTTTTAATTTTACTCTTCCATGGCTGGAAAGATGTTTCAGCAGTTGAAAGAGCATAGTGCTCTTACAGAGGACATGAGTTCGGTTCCCAGCATCTACTTCAGGTAGCTCACAGCTGTCTGTAAATCCAGCTCCAGGGAAGCTGACACCCTTTTCTGGCCTTTTCGGGCACAGCATACACACAGAAAATCACACATAGACATGATTGCCACTCTGAATAACACACTCTGGATCCCTCTTATCCACAGTCATGATCTGTGCATTGAATATACAGCTTCATCTTATCTTAGATGCTATGAACAAGAAGGCTGCTGTGTGTAAGCTAAAAGCCTGGTGGGGTGGGGAGTCTTTATGTGGACTATTTGGCAGCCCTGCTGGGATTATCAAGAACATCATATCCCCAGGTGTCCAGGGCACACACCTGTGCATCCTCCAGCTGCCCAAGGCAGCCGGCTGACTTAGGCAGATGAAACCGTTCTGCCTCATCAAGGGCAGACATTCTCTGGGCTCACAAACAAGCCTCCAGCAACTCAGAACAGGCAAGGTGTCAGGGAAGGGACCTGCACATGGCAAACTGCCCAACAAATAACACCTGCCGTTGCTTTCTGTTCTCACTCTGCATTACAGAAACACTGAAATATCTCACCAAATAGACACAAGAGCCTATGAACGGACTCGTTAACCTATGAAAGCAGATTCCCACATCTGTGTCAGCTAGTCCATTGAGGACATGAGAGTCTTCAATCCTCCTGGAGACAAAGATCAAGACATAGTTAACATTAGAACCAGCTTGGGCAGGAGATTGGTATTTTTACTGTTCAGCTTGTGATTTTACAAAGCTGAGACTGTCCCACCCAGTCCCCACCCATTTCTGGATCAGGGTTACAAGAACTTAACACTGCACTGGGCAGTGACTGGGAGGGAGTAAGACCCCAGTGCCTCCAAATTGGTTGTGGATCTTTTTCAGGAAGGATGAACTAGTGGGTGCCAACTACCATAGCATGCGGGAGGACCGAATAGTTACACTGAGTTAAGTGCAGGATCATGGCATTGCAGAGATTAACAAGGAACACTGGTTTCCTTTGAGCTAGTACCATCAAAAGAAGCATGAAAGTTTAAAGTTGATACTTGTATCCAACAGACTGCTTTCTCTGTGGCTTTTCAGCAGCCCCGGCTGAGAGAACCTTTCCTGGGTTCCTACTAAGAGCGTGGCAGGCAGAATGGAGGGCCGTGGACTGGGCAACATTTACATCAACGCAGGATCCTACTGACATTCTTTCCTCTGGAAAGGCACGAGGAATGGCTCAGCGCAGGATCTAGCTGACTCTGGAGCTGGGGATAGACTCTCCCTGATCATATTGGGGTGCCAAACACTGCCAATGCCCTGGAAGTCATTAGGTGCATAGTTCACTGGGTAAGTGAGCGTCAAGCCAGGCAATGCCAAAAGAAAGCTTGTCTTACCAGATCAAGGCCCTGGTCCAAGACCTGGCCTAGAAAAACAAGACATTGCTGGATCCTAGGACATGAATACTACTCAGTTCCTTTAGCACAGGGGTTCTCAATTTGTGGGTCTCAACTCCTTTGAGGGTTGCACATCAGATATCCTGATTTCAGATATTTACATCACAATTCAGAACAGTAGCACAATTAGAGTTATGAAGTAGCAACAAAGTAATCTTATGGGGGGATACCCCACACCCTGAGGATCTGTATTAAAAGGTCGTAGTATTCGGAAGGTAAAGAACCACTGCTTTGGCAAATGAATGGCAGAGTATATTCCTTGGTGCCATCTCTCCTTTTTGCAAGGTGAGCAAGTTCTCACTATGCACCCAAGTGGGCCTTGGTCTTGAAACTGCCTCACCTCTCCCTTCCTGCCAAGGTTACAGGCGTTCAGAACACAGTGCCACCTGCCTTCGTTCAAATCTGTTTCGGCTCTGGGCTGAATTCTTGGCTCTCACTAAAGAAGGAAACTTCTGGAGCTCATTCTACCTCAGGACAACTGTGCTTTTAGATGGTGCCCTCGGGCCCAGCGCCACTTCAATAGGCAAACACACTGAAAAGGATCCTTCCTGTGTTCTCCCAGCTTCTGGCTACGGTCACAATCCTTGGCACTTGGGGCTCGTAGTCTCATCGCTCTCTCCACTCCGTCCTCACACTTTGCTGTATTTCTGTCTTCCCGTCTTAGAAGGATTTCAGTTGCCCTTATTAAGAGGGCCCAGGGTGGCCCATGTCTTTAACCCCAGCTCTTGGGAGGCAGAGGCAGGCAGATTTCTGAGTTCCAGCACAGCCTGGTTTACAGAGTGAGTTTCAGGACAGCCAGGGCTGCACAGAGAAAGCCCGCCTCGGAGAAACAAAAAACAAAAGCCCGCCCCAATGATCGCATCTTAACTTGATCACCAAGCTAAGCCTTTTCTCAATTAGATCACCTTCACTAGTACTGGAGGTTAACACGTCATGTCTTCTGAGGGAGGGCACAATTCCATTCTATCACCCATGTTCTGGCCTCAGTGCTGTTGACTTTTCTTCAGAACAAGCCCCTTCTCTCTCTCATCCAGAGTCACAGAAGCGCTCCGAGGGCAAGGTGTTTACAGATCTTGTCCAGCATTGGAAGTACACAGCCAGTAGTGTGATTTCCAGACGTGGGGTCCTCCCCTTGCGCCAGCCTCTCTTCAAAGATATTCCACTCTACTGTCCATGCTGTCACAGCTTCCTAAACAGAAGCAAATTCTGTCACATAATTAGGCATGGGTCTTTTTAAATGAGAATAAGCCCAAAAGGGTGTGGCATAGTACCAAATCTAATGTTTGACTTTAAAAAACACGGGGGAGGGGGGCGGAGATCTCTACACTGCAGTGGCGCCAAGATCCTCCTCTAATCTTCAGCGAGATGATGAACGATTGCGATTCTGCAATCGGGGCGGTGAGCGGAACTGATGCCCTGGGTTGGGGCAGGCTAGGAGGCGCTGAGGCCACCAGGGGGCGCGCGAGGGCCGGGGGAGCTGGTATAGGGCAGGACCCCGTGCGGGGAGGGCAGGGACCCGGTACGGGGCGGGCAGGGCGGGGCCACTCTGGTTGGCTGCGTCCCGCTCACTGTCCGGCCCATTTTAAACTTGGTCGGCCCGGGCGTCTTCCCTTTTCTGCAGCGGCGCGCTCCTGGTAAGTCGTGCTTGTCTCGCGGAATACGGGCCCCGCCACGTGGCCTCGGGGAGCCCACGGTGCCAGCCCCGCGCGCGGGTCCCCGCCAGGTGCCGGCCCCTTGGTGTGGGGCCGAGGCTCGGCCTCGCACTGCCCGGATTTGTCTTCTCCAGGGTGGAGGCGCAGAGTCCTTGGCCCACCCGGGGCTCCTGCCCGCCCAGTAGTCTGGCGACGGGGACATTGCCTATTTAGGAAGCGAATGAGATCAGAGCTCAAGAGTAGCAGGATAATTCCAGTGTTAGCAAGGAGCAGAGGTAATTTCGCCCACGCAGCTGCGTCCTCGCCACAAGTGTCCTTCAAATGCCACTTTGTACAGTTTTTTTTAACGTTTGAGGGTGCTTCCGAGAGCCGATGTCTGCAAGCAAGTCAAGCAGAGCGCTCTGGGCCCACAGTGGCCGGATTAGCCACGTTTTATGCCGCCCAGCCTTCCCCTGATACAAATTGGGTCTGCCTGGATTTTATGTTCTGGGAGAATCTGAGCCGCTGGGTTCACACTTGTACAAGGCATCAGACACCTAACTCCTGTGTTCCTAAGACTGGACACAGGCCCGCCTGCTCACTATTGCTTTAACATTTGTGAAGATCTAGATTTAGACGAGAGTGAAAGAAGGAAGGCGTCACTTGGTTTTCTATTGGGAGGCGATCTTTGTTTGGTGGGTTCTCACACTGGGCCAGGGGATCTTTCTGCCCCGGTACCCTAAGTGCTGGCATTTATGGATATGGCGGTATGGGGCGAACTATGCCCGGCGAAGCCCATGTTGGAGGGAAAACTTTGTGGCCTCTTGTAAACAGCTATCCAGTATTTATTCTGTCGCAGCAAAGAAACATGCCGTGGTAGTTCTGTTTCCTTTAGGGGTTAGGTTTCTATTGAGCCTGAGAGCCTGGAGTGAGGGGCAGCATGAGCCACAGTCTAAGGGCTGTGGACACAGCAAGTTCCAGGACTGTGGTTTCTCAACCCCCCCCCCCCCCCCCCCCCCCCATGCTGATTCTGATTTTGAAGTCGATAAAAGTGCTTCAACTTTTGCCCAGAAAAATACTAGAGCTAGTCATTTTGTTTCTAAATTTGATAAATTATATGATTATATTGCCGGTTAGGTTGGACCAGTGGCACAGGGAATAAAATAGCCTCCCCGTTGCCAGAAATGTAACGATCACAGCATTGCACAGGAATGCTGTTCAGGGGCAGGACTAATGTCTCAAAGGCAGCTAGGATTCCCAAGAAAGGTTTTGTGTGTGTTTAAGAGAAAAAAAAACGATAATGCCTGATACTTTTTGCTGACTCTTTTTTCTTTTAAAGCAGGTGCTGTATGCTGCGCCCAGGATGTTAATGAATACAAGGTATGGGTTAAATGAAAAGATTTGACTTGTCCCGGCATAATTCCAGGAACACAATTCTTGGCCAAGGATGAGAACTCTAACCTGATTGGAAAAGCTACTCTGATGGGTTAAAGGATTTACCTGAGGCCAACTTTATAGGACTTAGTGAAGCCAACCATCTAGATAAGGGGGAGGGAGGAATGTATTTTAGTGAGATGGCATAGCAGTGCCCACCCTCACTACCTTTGGGTTTGATTCTTGGACCCTATGTGGTGGAGAGAACCAACTCTAGAGTTACCTTTGGGCCTTCATGTATTCTGTGTGCATACACAAAATAATAAATGGAGAGTTGGTCAATGAATTAATACATAAAGAGAAAAATACGGTTTTGCATTTAAAACTGGAAACATTACTGAGTATACTGAGGATTGTTGATACAAGGAAATTATTGTCAGCATCGGTGTCTCTAATTACCTCTGGTTATTTCTCTTACAGCTCCGATGCTTGAGATGAAGTGGTGCAACTTGGAGGAGAAAAGGTATGCAATTGTTTTCAGTTTCTTTGTCCATTTGATAGTGAGAATGTGAATTTGAGGCAGTCTCAATCTCAAATATAGAAGCATGATAATTTTATGCCTGTAGAATTCATTTCCATTATTTATTTTACCATGAGTCACTTCTAGCCTGAAACTTTCCAGTGTTAGCACAATATTTTTTGAAAATTTTTTATCTATAAAATTTTTCTTATTTTTGCCTGCACGTGTCAGGACCATGTGCTTGCAGTGCCCATGGAGACCAGAAGAGGGCATCAGATACTCCTGAAACTGGAGTTACAGTTACAGTTGTGAGCCACTATGTGGGTGCTCAGAATTGAAACTAGGTTCTCTAGAAGACCAGCCAACTAGGACTTTTAACTGCTGGGCCATCTCTCTAGCCCTAAACTTTGGCAACTCAGAATTGTGTCCTCGGGAGAGTGAGGTGTTTAGGGTCCATTTGGTGTCTTCGCTCAGTACCTGCCCTATTAATCTTAACTGGCTAAAGTGGAGATGAGCAGACCAACCACCTTTGTGTTTTACACTACCAGGTAGCTATCGAATTATGCTCAGATGTCCTGTAGAGAAAACAAGTAGGAAGTTAGCTGGTTTTGGAGAGCTTTGAACTCATCCAGGGTAAAGCACCGGCTCTCCCAGACGTAACTGGAATAAATTGGGCAAATTTATTTACATCAGTATAGGGGAACACATGCCTCTTAAATGAGAATGCTGTTACTATAGAAACAAGTCTGGCCCAGTGGAAAAGTATAAAACAATTTACTTGGTAGGCCCACAAACTAGGCAACTCCAGTGCAGGAATCTGGCCCTGGTTCCTCTTCCTCAGCTGCAGTTCTTTATAGTGTCATAATAATTGTTCTTTGTTTCTAAGTTTTTCTTTTTCAGGGAAAAGCCAGTGACATTACCTGACGGTGGTGAGTACACCAGGCACCTGACAGTTTCCTCAGGTCTACCATCACATATCAGCCTGACCTGATTTGACCCCTTACCAACCCTGCTCAGTTAGAAAAAGATTGTCCCCTTATGCACTGTTGCAAAGTAGCCCTCTCATGGCCACATGGCTGCCTGAACTTAACCTGGGCAGATAGTTGTTAGGAAATAGAAACAGAACCCCAAACATTTCTCATTCCTCCCTAAATGGCCAACTGTCAGGGGACCATCATAAATGCAGCCTGGCTATATCAGGTGCAGACCCCTCCTGGGAGCCTGGCTGGGGCTTCTGTTTTTTTGTCCATAAACGAAAAAAACAAATCTGCCCTAAACCTTCAAAGTCCCTAGAAAACCTAACCTTTCCCTAGCCAGGATGCTGCTCTGCTCTGGTGGCAGGCCTACGGCTGGTTTCAAATAAACTTTTCCTGTCTGGAGTGGTCTTGTTCTGTGGTTTCATTATGCCAACATACAAGTTCCTCGGGATTGGATGCCTTTTTCTGCGCCTCCCCCACGACAGGCATGCTTGAGGTGCATATACATAAAGGCAAAACACTGATAAACAGATATTTAATATGCGTAACTTTTGTCTGCATATACGACTAGTACTGTCAGAGGTCAGAGGGTGTTAGAGACCCTGGAACTGGAGTCAGAGATTGTTAGCCACCTGTGGGTGCTGGGAACCAAATCCGGGTCTTCTGGAAGAACAGTTAGCTATCTGCTGAGCCATCTCTCCAGCCCCACTGGAGGGTCTTTAAAACTATATTAGATAAATCGGGAAACACTTGTGTCTTGTGGTAGAGAAAACTGCGCTCTGTATGAGTGCCCCACATCCATTTGGCCATGTAAAGTGGGGTTGGTTAACCAACATGTATGAACATGTCAAAAGGGATATAATTTTACTTAGATTTTGGGCCATAAGAAAGATGGGCAGAAGTGGCACATGTCTTTAAAACCACCACTTGAGAGGTAGAGGCAGGCAGATATCCATGAGTTCAAGACCAGCCTAGTCTACAACAGCTAGTTCCAGGACAGCCTCCAAAGTCACAGAGAAACCCTGTCTCCAAAACACACCCCCTCCCCCCAAAAAAGATTCAATTGTGAGGAATTAATACCTAGTTATGCAGTTTCCACCACATTCCCACAATAGCTCAATGGTTTATCAACAAATACTAAACAGTACAGTAATTAGAGGGAATGAAAGCCCAGCAAGAAGACTACAGGGAAATCACAATTAGATTTCATGTCATCAGCTGGAGCCTATTTGGCTCTGAGCTCCCTAACAGCAAAGCTCAAATGGCTGTGATGATGGAGCATCATTTCAAAGCAGAAGAGGGCAGTAGCCAATCTACGCTCCAGGCTTCGCAAGAGGTGCTTTTCCCTGTAATCTCAGCACTGGGTAACTAAAGGCCTATCTAGAGAAAGTGGAGATGGCTGCATTTGGCTCCAGAGAAGGCCAGAAGTCAAAGGCTTGTAGGAAGCCTGAGTCCACTCAGCTGAAGGCAAGCTAACATGAGAAAGGAAGGGAAAGCGTGGGACTGAACAGGAACAGTCGGGTGTGCCTGAAAAGTGCTTTCATCCAGTAGTCAGGAAGATTGCTTTTGCATATTTACCTTGTATTTATAATCTGAAGAGTTCTGAGCCCAGTATTCTGTGATACAGTTGTGGTTTATCAAAGCTCACAGAACCAATGTTAAACAGCCTCCCGATGGAGCTCACTGTAACTGCAAGGAGTCAAAAGTCCTGGCCCTCCACCACTGACATCTGCATCCCCAGGACTCCAGTCTGTTTCAGAGACAAAGAGATCAAACTCAGAAATGTTTGGTGTGTGTCACCTTGATTTGTTTCTGGGAACAGAACGAAGCATAACACCATTAATCCTGAACAGGCCCCCTGGCCTGTTCTCCATGATCTAAGTACCCATTGTGTCGGGCATCGGCCTCCCATGGTAGCACTTGGGAAATCATATTTTGAAACTATTCTGATATGGCACCTACCATGCATGCTTGACTATTCAATACTTGAAACGTGGCTGGCACATCAGGTGTGTACTGTGTTTTAGAAATCAGATGTGAGGAATGTGGACACTAAAGATTTCAATTTTACAGTGATTGTCATTGGATTGAATGAAACATTTGAAATTATGCAAGTATGATTGTATTTCTGTTGAACAATACCGGTCTAATATGCAAAGCAAAAAATAAGTAGTGGCCCACAGTGTGATAGAATGATGTTACTGTTCTACCACAGAGAAGAACCTCAAGGAACGGTAAGTTAGCACTTAAGACAGAGGATTTGCAGGGAAGCAGCTATCTTTTGAGAGGCGAAGGAGCCAGTACTGCTTGGCACAAATCATTTCATGCAGCTTGTAGTCCTGGAGATGTTAAATAAGACTTAAGTATATTTGTTAAACAATCTTTTGCCCACCCAGTCTGCATAAACATTTGCATGCTTGTTAGGGAAATCAAGAGCCAACATTTAATGTCTGATGCTGTATGAAAGTGCAAGCTTCCCTACTGAAAAACAAATGCTGAATCGTTCTGGTTCCTTCATTTACTTGTCTGTGTTTGTGTCTGTGTGTCTGTGTAGTAATGTAGTCTTCCAGGCATTTTTACAGAAGGAGGGAAATTGGGGGGAGGTGGTACATAAATATCACCCGGACTTGTAGAAAGGTTTTTGTTGTTTATTTTAAGGCCTTAAGTTAAGCAAAATGCTTCACAAAATTCTCTTTCTCTCATTTTCACTCAACTACTCCAAAAAGCAGTCTTGTGAAGATTCCCTTTTGTAGTTTTCTTGCTACTAATGACATTTGTTTTCTTCAGGAAGATGGTAGGAATTAGACCCCAAGGCTCAGGCATGCTATTCCAATCAGGCATGGTGGTGCATCTTTAATCCCAGCACTTGAAGGAAGAGGCAGGTGGATCTCTGTAAATTCAAGGCCAGCCTAGTCTACAGTGAGCTCCAGGACAGCCAGGATTACACAGGGAAACCCTGTCTTGAACCACTGCCCCTTCCTGCAAAGTGATTTCCCATGGAGTTATACTTAATTGGAGAAACACTTGGTAATATCTAGAGGCATTTGATTTTCATAACTGGGTAAGGGATGAGCATTTAGTGGGTAGTGACCATAGGTGTTACAACATATCCTACCTGGGTGGTCCCTACAACAAAGGACGGTCTGACCCAAGATGTCAATAGTGCAGAAGTTGGTAAATGCAGTTTTAGAAAATGTTGCTCCCCACCCACCTGCCTAGGTGCTGATGTTACAGGTCACTCCTGCCACACAAAGAGGTTCCCTAAAGTATGAATCCTAAGGGGCTTTATTGCTAGCCCTATTGCTTTCACTTCCAGATGATCTTATATAACACATAAAACTAATTAATCACTATTTTAAGCCTAGAGATATACAGGGTTGTTTCAGTTTCCTCAAAAAGCTAGAATTGGTGTTGATTAAATGGTAAGTGACCAGAAATGTCTCGTATTCACTGCAAACTACATGGTTTCTTACTCAGTTGGTCTTAGCTTGATTGTTAAAGTAAGGCTTGCTCATACTGGCCACCAGACTGTTCCGGAACAGACAAAAGAAACCTAGCCTAAGTCCCACCATCTTGTTTCAGACTCCATTTTAATCATAAGAGGAAGTTCAAGTTCCCAGGCCCTAGGGAAGCTGGGGACAAGATCCCTGGAGGCTCAGGCCCCCAGGGTCTCAGCCCAGGACTGCAGCCACCCCAATTGCCAGGCAGAAGGGGAAACTTGATGCAAATAGCAAGAGGTTTTATTGTAGTTGTTTAACGAGCTAACCCCATGTAAGCTCGGGCCTTTCATCCATCCACCATGGCAGATGGCTGGGAAAGACACCGAGAAGCCACGGCATAGAGATCTTAAAGGGCAGAGTAAGGGGAGTGTCTAGGAGTATGCACAGGCTCAGGATTGGTGTGCCTCCAGGCTTGGAGGGCCTGCCCTGTGTTGATTGGTCAACTGGTTGTTATGGCCCATAGGCCCTCCCAGGGCAGTTGCTATGCTCTGAGCGTCATTGCTGTGCACTTGTCCGTAAAGCACACCCAGAGCCGTAAAGCATAGCACCACCAGCTAACTTCTGATTGGTTCCTTGCCATGAGGCAGGCATCTGACCTCCTAGTGACCAAGGCAAGGTCAGCCACATTAGCCTGGTATGGCTGCCAAAATGGGGAGCTGGTCCTTTCAGGGACTTTCTAGTATCTGACCAGCTTCCTCATTAACCAATAATAGCCTGCAAAACTGCTTGCTATTCTTCAGTTCCTTACAAATAATAGATGTTTCTAATAACAAATAAATTCGATTGGTTGTACATTTGACATAGATCAACCACATTAGCAAAGTCCCTAATCCCTGGATTTTGATTAGTGAAAAATTGCAACTGTAATTTGGCACAGGTGGTTGTGGGTTTTGTGCTTACACACTTGCTGAGATGAACAAGTGTGTACACAGTTGGCTCCGGAGTGTGTGCTGTTGTCCCTTTCCTCATTTTCCTGCTGTCCCAGTCAATAAAATCTTGCTTTGTGTGGACTCCGGTGCCTGCTTGGGTTATTTTGATTCTCAGACTCTAACAAGACCACAAAATCTCTGGCTTAGCCCAAGGTTTGTAAACTAGGTGAAGACTTTTTTGTCTCCAGCAAATAGCATCACTTCATGGGGGACACTTAACCAGAGAGCACACCAGCCAAGAGGAACAGCAAAAATCTTACCCAAATAGCCATGACCAGACCTCATTGACTGTGTCCCATGTCTGCCTAGAACATGGGCCAGAATATTCTGATTGATTTTAGCTCCCAAATACTAATAAATATGAAAACACCGAGTTCCCCTCCCCCTGCTCCTGTGTAGCTGAGGCTGGGCTTCGATTTCTGATCCTCCTGCCTCTACTTCCCAAGAACTGGGATCACAGGCATGTGCTACCACACCCAATTTTTATTTTACTTATTTTTATTGAGACGAGGTCACTCTATGTACCTCTGGATGTCCTGGAACTCACAGAGATCCACCTGCCTCTGCCTCCCTAAAGGCATGAACCATCACGCTCAGCCACACTCAGCTTTTAAGTGGGGGCTGGGGGTTGAACCCAGGGTTCCTTGTGATACTAGGCAAGCACTCTGCAAACTGAGCTACGTCCCCAGCCCTGACACTGAATTTTTTTTCTTTTCTTTTTTTTTTTCTTTTTTTGTTTTTTTGTTTTTTTGAGACAGGGTTTCTCTGTGGCTTTGGAGCCTGTCCTAGAACTAGCTCTTGTAGACCAGGCTGGTCTCGAACTCACAGGGATCCGCCTGCCTCTGCCTCCCGAGTGTCGGGGATTAAAGTCATGTACCACCACTGCCCTAATTTTATCCTTTCTTTCTTTCTTTCTTTCTTTCTTTCTTTCTTTCTTTCTATCTATCTATCTATCTATCTATCTTGTGTGAAT